ACCAGAACTCGAAGTTTCATTTTCATTTATCTGTTTCACAAGATCTGCTTGCTTGTTTGAATCTGAAGTTAGATGCTTTCATATGAAGCTGCCGTTGACTTATCAACTTTTTAATATTTCGAGTTCCCTACTTGAATCAAGCTTCGATCAGAGCGTTCCCATGCTCTGGTTAGGCTACATAAAAATTCTTCGGTGTTTGCTGTTTTTGCAGGAAGAAACTGAGATATTGAGACGCAGGCAAGTTGGTAGTCTTAGAAAAGCCACATTTCCTTTATCGAGCAAATGAACAAGGACTTTTGAAAAAGAAGTTTGAAATATATTACAGTTTTACGACTTGTGATTTCTTTCTTATAAATTTTACGAATGATGAAAATTGAAAGAGTTCACTAGAGAGGGGTATTCAAATTGTATCATCAGGAAGTTGACAGGAAATTTAAGGTTTATATGGATGTACTTCGCTTTGATTAATGCGGGTCTGGTGTAGATCACAGGGCTCTATTAGAATTGTCCTGAATGAGACAGTTTTTGCAATTAGAAAAAAGCATGGAAGGAAAAATAAAAAGCGAGATTGCTCTTCTCCTGCATCTCCCTAGAACTTGGCATTTTCTTGACTTTAAGTCACCGACCATCCTCCTTCCCTTCAAAATCGTTTCTTAAGTGAACTGCTGGGGTTTGAGGAAAGGTCATCAGATGCGCAGTTTTTGTTGTGAGGCGGGAACCAGGAGTTGGCTCGTCGTAGCATTTGCACAGGAAATTTTATAAGTTTAGAGATGTTTTTTTTGTTAGTCACATCTTCTCTCTACCCAGTTTGTGTACAAAATTTTCAGCATCTATTCACCGTGTGCAATATCTGTTTTTTCACTACCTTTTGAAAGCCGTGCGATAGGTGGGCACCCTCATGATTTGTTTAGCTCTGAGTAAAACTACTTCTGGTATTAGTTTACTGTAGTGGAGAGTATTATTTGGATAAATCTAAACTTTTCAGATAGAAGTCGAGTAGAAAATGCTTAAATCTTTTTAAATTCTCGATAGGTGAAATGGGGTCAAGCTAAAAACTTTATGTTTGAAGACTCTTCGGAGGTTATGGACGACAAAGTACGTTTTAAAGTAGACCCCATGAATCAAATTGGTTCTCAGGACTTTTACCTGTGCTGGCGGTTTTTCAGCTAATTTGTGTTATTAGTAAAACGGTAATTACTAATGTAGCCAATGGAAGGTGCTGTGTCTTTGAGGGTTAATTCTTACGACACATGTATACAACATCAGCGCAGTTAAGATTAAATTTTGCGTAGTAGTAAGAAAGTGAATTACGGGCAAGTAAGATCAATGAAGAATACTAAAGTGGCTGGATGGTAAAGGGAAGAAAAGAAGCAAAGCAATTCTTTTCTTTTAAAATCAAGAAAATTTTTCATTTATAGTAAAATAATGGTATAGAAAAACAGCAAAAGTACTTTTGGGATACCTTTAGAAAATACCAGAAGTTTTCTCGAGTTTTATTGTACTTCTTATTTTCAGGCTGCAATAACTTTCTCTCCCCAGATTTTTTTTTTTGGTAAACATGTTTTAATACTATTAAGCAAATAAATCTTAATAGTTGATAAATATCGGTAACAGAATAAAAGCCTAAATAATCTTTTGTGGTCACCGGTAGAAAAAAGGAGGATTTTGAGCAATAAGTAAAGTACCAGTGTTGCAACTTCTTTCCACTTATGGTTGTTGCAGTTTTTTTGTACATGACTCGCTAACGGTCACTTAAATCTTGAAATGTTGTCAACTTTGGCAAGTACTTAAAAAGGAAGTGTGCTCTCTTGAAACAAATAATGTTTGGTATATTTTGGACGTATGGTGGCGATTTTTTTTTGACGGTGCTTATGTTCGTAACTTATCAGTCAAGTATCAGAGATGACACAGTATTAATCTATACCTTTTTGAAATATCTGCAGTGGAGAACACATACTAGAATCAGAGCTTTTTTCGATTGCTTTATTGGTAGCACACTATCACTGAATAACCTAACCACTTAAACCACTGAAAACTCAAGTTTTAAAAACATTTAATTCCATCTTTCAAAATAATTTAATCCGTTTTATGTATATCAGGTATTTCAATTCTTCGATAATTGTCAAAGTTAAATTCATAAATACAGGAATGAATGGATCCAGGAACAATGAAAGTAACAACTGAGGTTCGTACAAAGTACCAAAATTGAATTTTCGTCTCAGAAACTTTACGCGTATTGTTCATTTCTCACACATTTTCTGGTGCGCGACTTAGGAATTTTAAAAAACAAATCAACAGAGCTAAACAGAGGTGATTGATTATCTTAGCTGACTCGAAGGTTTAGCATTGCGACTTACTGGCTGCTGAACCACAAAAACATTTTTTCGCTTAACGAAGGAAAACCTTAAAGCACATGACAATGATGGAAAATTTTTCATACCAGTTCTATCTGTAGCTTTCGCCATTCTTTGGTGTTCAGTTTGCGGTTTTGGCAATCTTTAATAGAGGACATACCTCCTAAACGTATACTTCTTGGAAAAAAAAAAGACTAAAAAATCGCATTTGTAGATGCAGCATTTCAAAATTATTTTTTTTATGGTCACTTTTTATGAATTTTATTGGTGTAAACACTTCAGCACTTCTGGATATACTGAAAACAAGTTATTAGACGTGATAGAACAATTAAAAGTTTGTTGCGAGCAAACAAAAATCACGCTTCTCCGATCATGTCAGGCAAAGGTTGTGCTTCTTTTGCATTATAGTGCAGTCAAACTCTTCGGCTTCTGTGATTCTTTTTCCGACTTTTCAGTCTGAGTGCAAGGTTTACAAGTTGACCAGGTTCGGAAGAAAATTTGAGAGGTCAATAAGAAAAGCGTGCATTTTGGTGTGGAATGGCCCTGAACTGTCATAGGGCAGGTGGCACTTTTTTATATGAGATCTCAGAACTTTTTTTAATTTTGGAGTTGTAAAATTTAGGTTTGAATTTCAAATAATTGGAAAGAGAACCCAGAAAAAGAGATTGTTTTCCTACCTTTTATTCGTTAAAGAAATCCCCAAGTTATTGCTTGGCACACCTACATTCCTGGCCTTGCAGTTCAGCCTAGCCGCGACCAACTTCATAGCTTTCTGACTTTTTGATTCCGTGTGTCTTGCACTTTGGAACAGATATTACAAATCTGAAGAGTTGTTAGTATATAAAACTAAAGCAAAAGACCAGAAAACATAAAAGAAAACGTTCTTTTGCATTTTCAAAAAACATTTATTTTGTATAAAATTTTTTGTTCTATTACATATTACAATTTGATGTTGTTTTCTGACGGGGTTGAAAGATATGTGTTGGAGTGCAAGGCGAAACTGATAATGTTCTAATTTTGGTGAAGTAGTTGCGAGCACTTTTAACAGTAAAGAGATTATCATCAGCTTCAACACACCTAAAAACCTAACGGAACTGTCATTAACATTTAGTGTGCTTTAGTCGTTAAAGACCCGTATTAAAAAAAATTACATTTTGTATGGAAATATTTCCAAGCTATTATTTCACAGTTAAAAAGAATTTTACCTAAAGGGCCAGATTAAACGAATGTTTCCAAGAAATTTGATGTGACGAATACTGGCCAAAGTCAAGGTTCTTTGTCCAACCTGCTATGCTGTAATTCTATGTATCGGGCAGATCATAACAATTTCAGAGAAATATCTGCGCCTTGCATTTTAGTGTTAAAACGGTATTTCCCAAATAATTTGCAATGTAAATACCTCTATACCTCTTTGAACAGCAGAGTCTTCATTACATTAACGCCGCTTTCTCGTCACTTACAGAGCAAAAAAGGAAGTGGATGTTGTTGCTATCAAAATTTTAAATATTCTGGACTAGCACAAGCCAAAAAACTCATTCAGGTATTCCAATGATAACAAGAATGATCCTTCCATAACAATATTTTTCTTTGACCGTTCTGATTAGTGCAGCTTTTGAGAAGCAAAGGAATTTTATGATAGATGAGACCCATTAAGGGTCTGCATTAAGATGAAGTTATGAAATCTGCGCTGTCGTTATTTGACAGTTTTTGCCTTCTTGAACTTTTACATCAAACTAAATTAAATATATTTACATTTATTTCTAAATTCGTTTATTTATTTAAATACTTGTTTACTCGCTCATCTGTCCACCCATCTATCAATTCATTTATCCTTATATATGCTTGTTTGCTTACATATTTATTCATTTTGGTGTACCCTGAAACCTATTAGCCATAAAAATTTGTATACATTATTCTTATTTCTAACAACAGATTGTCTATGACAGCTACAGGTGCACATCCTTTACGCTTCCAGAAGTAAAAGTTTCTGGTTTTGGGCTGTTGCTTAGGTCGGATCATGAAGTGTTTGGCACCCTTCCAAGGCTAAATTTAAATTTAAAAATTTCTTTTTAGTAAGCAATTCAAGGGTCTTCTACGAAGATTTTCATCAAAGGCGGTTGTGACTGTGCAGCAGAGTCGATGTAGTAGGTCAGTCTGCATTAAGTAGTTGAGGTGCTAGTTCTGTTTAGCGTTTATTATAGCAAGTAATGCAGTACTGAAGTTTACTACGTATATAGGAACTAGCCTGAACTTATTGTTGTTTTTAATGTGTACCTTAATACTGCTGGTTACTTAGCCGGCGTTGTGGAGGAGGGAAGGCTAACAGTCTTCTCAGCCGTTGTTTAGCTACGGGTAGTAATTTCAAAGATTTTCTGGCCTCTTCAAGCTAGATTTTATATTTTATCTTTATTTGGTCAGCGTTTAAGAGCACTTCTATTGGAGTTTTTGAGCCGTATAACCTTGTCTTCGTTTTTTTTTTTTTTTTTAATTTTTGATAGTGTTTTTAGTAACTTTTGCGCATTTTTCGTCTATTTATTGCTTTCCTTTGCTTCTGACTAGTTCTTATGTTTAGCAAGCCGTCGTAAAGTTTTTGGACATATTTTTAAATGTTTCTCCCAACAATCTGTAGCTTCAGGTCGATTTTTCATGTCGTGGATTATAAGGTTACAACACCTTCCATTATCTGCAAATGCAGCAGATATTCGGGCATTTTTCGCTGGTCTCCGAATTCCAGATGGTGCAGTTCATATTGTAGGCGGGGTAGAAGGAGATGCTTTCATTGGTTTCGCAACTGATGAAGATGCTCGTCAAGCCATGACTTATGATCAGCGCAGAATCCATGATCAGAGGGTTAGGTTATTGTTATCTTCGCGTGTGGAAATGGAAACTGTTATTGCGAAGGCAAGAGCTGGGGAGTTGGGTGCTGTTGGGCAGGATAATGTCCACCTTTCTCCAAAAATTGAAGATTCTCAGCCTCTGCTTGCCCGGCAGATAACAAGTGCTTCAAGCGATTACATCCAGCACGGGCCACAGCGGCAGCAACTTCAAACAAGTGTTGATGTGTATGGATTGAGAAGCATTTCTCGTACCAGTGGTGCAGCAGAAGGAAATCGTGTGAGCAGCTATCATCAGCAGGATTTTAATAGAGGTAATCTGAATTATGTCATTTTTTTCCTGTGCACTATCTTTCTATCCCTTGAACACACTGTAGTTCTTGTCATGCGTATTCTGTCATTTTTTGCTACTTATCCTTTGGAAATTTTACTTTAGCTTCTGCTTTTAAAAATTGTACTTTTTTCTTCTGGTTATAACTTTTACATGTATTTAAGGGGTTTCTAATTGCGCCATATTCACTGGTTGGAACTAGACTTTTAGTACTGTGTGCTTTTTAAGAGTCCAATCTTTTTTAAAATAGACAATTTCATTTCATTTGTTTTAAGCCCATCAGTGTCGGTAATTTTTTAAGCTGTGTGGCCTAATGTGTCTGGAGTTTTTAACGGATATTGCATTTCTAGTTTGTTCTTGCTTTCAATCTCTCGTTACTGTGACGACTTCACTTCGTTTGTAGCAGCAGAGAACATTAATGCATAATACAACTAGTGGCAAAGAATTTTCGTAGTTTTGACAATGCGTTGTCTTCCACTGTTTCTTCAGACTGGTTTAGGCAAAAGTTAATCTGAACGGCATGTAAAAAAACGGCAATACTCTAATTTACAAAAATTAAGAAGATTGGATTTGAAGTCATAAGATAAAAGAACTACGAATACACTAAAGCTTCTCAAGTATAAGTGGTTTAAAGGTTTTGGTAATAAGGCATTTTAAAAAATAAGAAACTGCGTGGAGCGTTCTAGAAGTTGCCGGTTGAGTTGGAAGCAGTCGATGCAAGGTAAACAGTAAGTAAAGGTTAGTTATGTGTTAGGACATGTATGCTATAGTAAAGAAGGACCATCCTTTTTCCTTTTCTGCATTAAAATGTTGCGTTGAAAACTTTTAAGTGCTAACTTTATCTATTGTCAATAGATCTTTCTAATCCGAGAGCTCTTTTGTGAACTGTTTTTCCAATCTGCTTGGTTACAAAGAGAAAAAGTGAAGATTTCTTGGTCAGGATGAGCGCTCTACTATCATTTCTCCTTAGATCTTCATTGCTTGTGTTTGTGGTGAGGAAGGTAGTTGTCACCAGAAGAAAGGTATGAAGAAAGCATTGGGTATATATTAGACCACTGTTTAAGCCATGCTGCTTGTATTTTCTGATACCAAACAATTACCTTTAGTCATCTACATCGTTTTTTTTTTTTGGTTAAATCAGGAAAATTTCGCGAGTTTTAATGGTAACTGTTTTCCGTTGTATTATGGTCTTGTGGGTTGAGGTTTGAAATCGAAAAGTTTCTGATTTTCTAGGTGGAAATAAAACTGTGGATTTGTTGTTTTTTGTTCTTTTGCTTTGAGAACTTGAAAAACTTTATGGAAAAGTGAAGCTGGTTCGTCACTTTCGTTGAGAAAAACTGCGGGTAAATGTCGTTTGAGGAGTGTAGCAGCATTCAAGGATTTTGGATTATTTATTGCGGTGATTGTTTGTCACCATGACGCAAGTAATTTTTTC